AACTTGCTAGTGAATACTGTTCTACCTGTTACATTTCTTAAAGGCTGGGGATTTTCTCCTTTCCTGCGAGCTTTTCCCTCTGAAATATTCAGTCACCTCGAACACGGGCTGGAGTCTGCATCGCGGGCGGTCCCGGCTCCCAGCGCTCCCCTCTCGGAGGGCTGGTCCATGCTGGACCGGGCTTCCTGCCAGGGCGCGCTGGCGTCTCCGCTCTGAGGCCTTCTCCTCTGGTTGCAGGTCTTGGCTGAACAGGCGTCAGATCAACGGGTCTCTGAACAGAACGCCCGCCGGCTTCTACGACCGCGTGTGGCAGATCCTGGAGCGCACGCCCAACGGCATCATTGTCGCGGGGAAGCACCTGCCGCAGGTACCGCCCGTGGCCGTGGTGAGGGGCTGTGAAGGGGCCTGAGCCGGGCCCGTGTGCCCTCTGCATGGCAGCGCCTTTCCGTGTGTCCCAGGTCCTAGGAGCCCCCCTGGGGCAGGGGGAGAGTGACGCTGGGAAGGACAACCTTCCAGCAAACAGCCACTCGGTAGAGCCAGGCTCTAGAGGGCACCGAAGGCGAAAAGGGAAAGGGGCTCAGGTGGACAAATGCGTCCAGTGTGACGAGGAGGCTTTTCTAGTATTTCCTCCCTCGCATGCGACGCCCCGCCCCTTTAAGCACGCTTAGAAATGGGGCAGTGTCGGCAGGTGGGGCTGCCCTGTCGACGGGCCGCACGGAATGCAGGGCGGGCCTGGCACAGGCGGACAGTGTGCTGTCCTTCCACTGAAAGGGGGCGTTCCTGCGGGCCCCTGGGGAGTGAGTGATGCGCCTAGTGGGAAGTAAGTAGGAAAGTGTGACTCGCCCTCTGCCTGCCAGGGATGCCGGGGACTCCGCCTGCCCCCACTCGCGGAGCCACACTCAGAGCCCCTTCCGCCCAGGCCCAGCTCACTTCCTGCTCTCAGTTGCTTGTGAAACGTGCCCGGCACACAGGCAGTCCTCTCTATAAACGACACGTGAAGGGCAGAGACAACCCTTTCGTTTTGCTTGTTTCTGTGTGGCTTGCCTTCCCCGCACACAGCGCTGTCCTTGCTGATTTGGTGCATTTTTACGCGCCGGGTCAGACAGGACTGCCACAGAGACGAGGTAAACTCCACGGCGAGGACTGACGTGGCGTCTGCCGGCGTCGGCCGCGCATTCCATGTTCTAAGGCCCGTCACCGTGTTCTGTATGCGGTTCAGCCCATGGCTGAGCAGAACGCCTGGCGTGCACTCCGCGCGCCGTCTCGGCTCCTGACTGTCCCCTCGTGGGCCCACGTGGTTTCCTAGTCTAGTCCCTTCCCCTAAACACACTGCTGAGGCGACGATGGCTCCTGAAAACGGGAGGTTAGTTCTCACAGCGCTGGCGGGGTTCGCAGTTCGACATGAGATCGAGCCCTAGAGCTGGGAGGCTCTCGGGGTTTGTAGAGACCGAAAGGGGTTCTTGGGGAGCGAGTGGAGCTCCTCGTGGTGGAGCCAGGTCCCCACGCAGCGGTGACGCTGGGCTCTCTGTTCCAGCAACCGACCCTGTCGGACATGACCATGTACGAGATGAACTTCTCGCTCCTCGTGGAAGACATGCTGGGCAACATCGACCAGCCCAAGTACCGGCAGCTCATCGTGGAGGTGCGTGGGCGCGTGGCCTGAGGGCGGGCGCTTTCTCTTTCTCCCTGAAAACCGGGCAGAGACGGGCCAGGAGACCAGAGCTTCCCACCTGCCTGGCCCCCTCCCCCGCCCCCCACTGGGTCCTGAAGAGGACAGGGCCCTGACCTCTGACCCGAGCCGAGGCATAGGAACAATTCCCACATCCCACGTCCTTGGGCAGAAGAATGTCCAGCTTTGTCAGCGCACTCTCGCCCTCAACAGCAAGTGCATCATAGAGAGCGAGCACCTTTTCTGTTTTTTAAAATATGTTTTTATTAATTTCAGAGAGGAAGGGAGAGGGAGAGAGTGCATTTTTAACAACATGACAATCCCCGGAGAAACTGCTGTGGGGTCACGGATTTATACTCATTTGGGCTCTAACCGGTTTGGCTCAGTGGATGGAGTGTAGGCCTGCGGACTCAAGGGTCCCGGGTTCGATTCCGGTCAAGGGCATGTACCTGGGTTGCGGGCACATCCCCAGTAGGGGGTGTGCAGGAGGTAGCTGATCGATGTTTCTCTCTCATCGATGTTTCTAACTCTCGGGAAAATCAATAAAATATATTTAAAAAAGTAAAAATATACTCATTTGGGTGCTGGGCTGAGAGTCACGTGATCGTGAGCCTCCATCCACAGTCTCCACGGACTTATCCGCTGCCTCTGGCTTTGTTGCCTTCCGTGTCCTCTGGGAGCCTCCTGCAGACGCTGATGTTGGTGTCTGGCCGACAAGGATTACTGCCCAGCGGCCAGGAGAGTGCAGACACGGGGGGGGGGGGGGGGCACTAACTATAGACAGGGTGGGACAGCCATTCTCCGAGCCTCTAGCTTTTCTTAACGACTGAACATCTCGGCACGGCCACGGGGACCCACAGTGAAGAGCACTGTCATTCCCAGTAGAACGCAGGCTGCTGATTTGCAAGGTCTGGAAGGTTCTAGCCACAACGAGCCTAAGCCCATCGCTGTACAGGGCGCACTGGGGACCGCAGGGCCGACCTGGCTGGGAAGGGGTGAACCCGCCGGCCTGCGCCACCTCCGGCCACTCACCTGGCCTCAATGTCGTCTCTCCCAGCTGCTGATGGTCGTGTCCGTTGTCCTGGAAAGGAACCCCGAGCTCGAGTTTCAGGACAAAGTCGACCTGGACAAACTGGTGAAAGAAGCGTTTCAGGAATTTCAGAAAGACGAGAGTCAACTCAAGGACGTTGAAAATCAAGTGAGTAGAGAAAATAGCTTTTCGTAGATTTTTTTCCTGCCTCAATTCTTCAAACTATCCCAACCTCTTACCGTGTAACCGGCAGATTCCCCGATGGCACAAGGGAGAACTCGGGGTGGGGAGGGGCAGGAGGTCTGGCTTACCTGAGGAATTCAGGCTACTTTATATTTAATTATGAGTCGATTCCACCATGAAGTTCTGTAGAAAGAAACGTGGGAAGAGGTGCATTTCCTGTTCGGAGGCAGCAGGTCCAGTGTGCTTTACAGAGGAGCCCGGCCCCAGGAGGCTGCAGGATTCCACCCTGCAGGGAGGGGTGCGGGCCAGGCTCTGCGGGCGCCGTGCGCACCCCCTACGGGCTGTCGGTCACATTCATGCCCAGCTGTCAGGAGGCCTAAGTAAACAAGCACTGTCAGCCGAGAGGAGAATCGGAAAATGTCCGTCTTGTTTTGTTCGCTGAGAAGACGCCTCAGGACCGGGAAAGGGAAGCTCTTAGCACGTTTTCCAGGAGGGAATCCTGAGAATTACCTTCCCGGGGCCGGCACTCATTTCACCTGTCAGAGAGGAAGGGAGAGGGAGAGAGAGAAACATCAATGATGAGAGAGAGTCATGGGTTGGCTGCCTCCTGCACGCCCCGCACTGGGGACCGAGCCCGCAACCCCGTCAGGGCACTTAGGACCTCCTGGTGCGGAAGTCAACACTCAGCCACTGAGCTACGCCAGCTGGCCCTGTCAGCTCTTCACCAGGCAGAAAATCAAACGCACCTCCCTTTTCCTTCCCAGGACGACATGACTTCCTTTTACAACACGCCCCCGCTGGGCCGGCGCGGGACCTGCAGCTACCTGACCAAGGTGGTGATGAACCTGCTGCTGGCGGGCGAGGTCAAGCCGGGCGGCGAGGACCCTTGTCTGGTCAGCTAGTGAGGAGGCGCGGGGGGCCCTGGGGACACGCGTTCGAGGAGCGGGTTACGTTCTGCCTGGACGTGGAGTCCAGGCGGCCACTACCGAGTGCACTGACCCCACTAGGGCGGCGCTGCCCGCCTCCCACAGGGACTGGGCCTCTGGCTGCCACCGCCAAGCGAATGGTAGGACATGCTGTCAGGCAAGCGAGAAAGTCCTCGTGGTCATGCCAGCTGGCTGTGACCTTTACTGAACAGTAGGAATAGTAGACGATGGCAGGGTCACCACTGCATGTTCTGTGATCAGTTGCTCATCAGAAGTGATCATCGCTTCCCACTTGCTCCACTGAAGTGCATGTGCCACGCGGCGCGCTGGGAGGAACGCGGCTGGAGCGGCGCTGTTCAGGGCGTGTCACGCTGCCGGGATTCAAATGCACCGTCAAGCGCGTCGGCCAGCTGACGTCTTGATGTTCGGAAGCTGTAGTATTGGTAACATTGTAGGATACAGAGCTGCTCTACAGTTTTTACCTTGGAAACGTGACGATGGTTTTGTATTTGTCGCAACTGTAGCGGTTGGACTAAAATACAGTAATAAATCTGATCAAACGTGTGTAAGACTTGTCTGTTTGTATTGCAAACACTGATATGCCCGATGAAACATTTTCGTTGAATTCTTACTAAAGAGAGGGCATGTGTAAGATTATTGAGAAGTATGGGTGGTTTACCTAGTTTGTATCAGTAAAAATGAAATTAAATATTACTGAATTTTATTTCTGAATTAATGGTTTTATCTGGCACATTCTTTGTTCTCATGTTCCCAATACCGACTCCTGACCATTTTTATTATTTATTTATTTTTTTAAAATATATTTCATTGATTTTTTACAGAGAGGAAGGGAGAGGGATAGAGAGTTAGAAACATTGATGAGAGAGAAACATCGATCAGCCGCCTCCTGCACACTCCCCACTGGGGATGTGCCCGCAACCCAGGTACATGCCCTTGACCGGAATCGAACCCGGGACCTTTCAGTCCGCAGGCCGACGCTCTATCCACTGAGCCAAACCGGTTTCGGCTCCTGACCATTTTTATTTACTAAATCTGGAGAGGGAGTGGGAGAGACACAGTGGTGCCTCCCATCACACTCCTTTGGGTACCCACCACATTTCCTTAAGCTGATAAAAGCAGAATGTAGATTAAACACTTAAATGCCATGGATTTGTTTTCTTGCGAGGACATCGGGTTCCCGTAGCCCACGCCCACTCTGCAACAGCCCTGGCCCTCGGTGGTATGGGGGCGTCTTATGAACAGCACACGGGGACCCACGGGGCTTCTCCCTAAGTCAGTGGGAAGGGAGGAACTCCGTAACGTCAGTCACTCCCCGCGCGTGCCCACCCTGCACGTTCCGTGTGTGGAGAGGCACAGGTGAGGTGGGCGTGGGGTCCCCCGACTTGTGTGCTCGGTGCAGTGAGCTGCACGGCAGGCGGAAGTGGCGATTTGGGTTAAGTACCTGTGAGCCAGCGTCGGGAGGTGGGGTCACGGGGGTTGGTATGTAGACGCATTTGTCTTCTGAGCCTGAGGGTGCGAGGCCTCGGATGCAGCGCCCGCCCGCAGCTTGTCAGATTCGGTCGTGTTTGATGAAGATGTTCCTCGTTACGGAGGCACAGCTCAGTCCTCCTGCTGCTCAACCTCACATGGACTCTGGGCTGAACAGGAGCAGGATGAACCCAAGCAGAAATGACATGTTTTGAGTCCACCCTTTTCCGTCCACTTTCTTATCCTCAAAACAACAAAAAATAGGACAGTGATTTTCCGCCTTTTGAAATCACGACTCTGCCCTCAATGGAAGAGATTTCGTTTCACTGAAGATATTTCTTTCTGGTTTTACTTTCTGTTGTTTCTGACTGACCCACATTAAGGGACAAAGGATGTTCGCCTGCTGGTATTCCTCATTCCTTGACTCCTAAGCGAGTGTTGCCCACCTTAGAGGCTCGGGTTGCAGTTGCCTCCTGGGGGTCAGCATTAGCATCTCTTGTACATCTTCTGTCAGGACTCAAGTCTAGTTCCCTGCTCCCTTTCAGCCTCTTTCATCGCGTATACGAACCTCTAACGCCTCCCTATTGTCTGCCTTTCTGAGTCAGTCTAGGCGACTCATGGTCCTCAAAGCAGACACAGGGCCCGGCTGGTGTGGCCCAGTGGTTGAGCGTCAACCCATGAACCAAGAAGTCACTGGTTTGATTCCCGGTCAGGAGTGGCTTTAGTCCTTCAAAAGCAAAAAGCTGACAATTCCAACTTTGTTTTGCACCTGCCCCGGTTTCGGGCTTGAGCCCCAGTGTGGGGTGTGCAGGAGGCACTGATCAATGATACTCTCTCATTACTGATGTTTCTATCTCTCTCTCCCTCTCCCTTCCTCTCTGGAATCAACAAAAATATATTTTAAAAAATAAAAGAACACTTATCTTTAAAACACACACACAGACACAAAGAAAAACATCCAGACACAGGTATGGTCCTCTCACCTGAAACGTACCTCCTCCCCTTCTCTCCTACGCAGTCGCCCATCCCCCGCCCCCCCTCCTCCTGGTCTGTCTCGGAATGCCCAAGGACAGTGCCACCCAAGCATAGAACACGCTCTCCACTGTCGTGGGCTCTGGCGTGAGGCCACCGCTTTCAGGTGGAGCGTACGCCTTCGGGGGCCCGGCACCCAGTGAGGGCTAAATAGGTTGGGTGTGTCCACTCACTACCCACTAGGGCGCCGAGCTTGCACAGAAGCCGAATGCATGCTTGTTGACTGACAGAGAGAGTGGGTAATAAGTATGGGCTGTGAACGGGGATCTTCCCAAAGGGCGGTGGGATTGCCTGCTTGTCTGGAACCGGGCTGTGTGGGTGGTTTCATAGAGGAATGTGCAGGGAGCCGGAGGGACTCGCTAAGCCCGCCGTGTTTATCGCACCGGGACAATGGAAGGTAAGACATCCCCAGCTCCCTGCTTACGACCGCTGATGAATGGCTTGTCGTTCGAAAGCAAGAGCTGAGGATTCCAATTCGCTTTGCAAAAATAGCTTTGTAGTCGCGTTCCGGAGCTAGAAGCTTTTACGCAAATTAATAACAAGCGATTTTTCAGCTTCTGTGGAGCAGAGGCGTGCGCAGCCAGGACTCCCGAGTCAGCAGCGGGAGGTCCTCGCGGTGCGGGAAGGGCAGCGCCGCTCATTCTCCCTGTTGTGTGGACGGAGGGTGATCCCAGCCGGGTTCCGGCCGCTCTGCGCCCAGGGCCCCACATCCTCGACAGGCATTTAGTTGGCCACTGTTTGGTTAAAACACCTGATGCCGATGAGACTGTCTCAGCTTCTGGAGCTGAGAGGGGGCCCAGGGCCGCAGGGCACCCCTACTTCACGCAGGAACCCGGCGCTCCCCTAGGTCTCTCGGGGCCTCCCTCCCCCAGCGGCTGCCGAGGGAAACCAGTCCTGACCCACCACCCGCAGGGGGTCACCGTGCAGAGAACTCGGGTGACACGAGGAAGGTCTCAAGAGCTGGGGACTTGAATGTGCAGTGGGCTGTGCCTGAAGGATGCTGGGAACCGAGCAGGCCTGCCTGCAGCTCCTCCATCACCCGGGTCTGAACGGAAGCCTTTGCTGTGCACATGCACGGCTCTGAAGCACCGGGGGCCTCACTCATACGTGCACGTCGGATCAGAACAGGGACACACGGCCTTCCACCTGAGCTCCCTGATGGGCCAGGGGCTCCGGGAATCCGTGTCCTGTGCACCCCGCATCGTGACTCACGACATTTGTCACCTGCTCGAGCCCTTTCCCAGCCACCACCCCATTCACCCGCAGACCCTGAGCCCCGCTCTGGGTGGTGCCCTCCCCCTAGAGCCGTGCCCATGCCCGTCCAGCCTCACCGAGGGCCGTCGCCCCTGAACTCTGCCGGGGTGGGGGGGCGCCCGAGGCTCCATGAGTTCTCAGGTCAAGGGCAGGACGGGCAGCTGCTCTCCTCGGCGGCCGCCGTTCTCCCCGGGTCTTCTCACCTGCTTGCAGGCCACGGTGGGCAGTAACCTTCTGCACGGTGACTCCTGTGTTGTCCTCGGTCCAGGCCTCACCTCTGCGCCAGACTCACAGTCAACCACCTGTGTGACGCTCAGTCTAGACACACTTCACTGTCAACATTCTCAATAGTTGAACCTGGGCCCTGGCCGGTTTGGCTCAGTGGATAGAGCATCGGCCGTGGACTGAAGGTTCCTGGGTTCAATTCCAGTCAAGGGCACATGTCCGGGTTGTGGGCTCGATCCCCAATAGGGGCTGTGCAGGAGGCAGCCGGTCCATAATTCTTTCTCTCTCTCCCTCTCCCTTCATCTCTGAAATCAATAAAAACATAGTTTTTTAAAAATAGTTGAACTTGGAATGACCTCGCTCTCAACTCCTAAAATCTTGGTTCTCTTCCAGTTTTCCTGCATCAATGTGGATTCATCACTCCCACCGTCAATCAATGACCAAGGTCTTTCAGTTCAGGTCCCAACAAATCTTGACTCAGCTCCCAGCTCTCACTTCCACGGCCAACACCCCGATGCGGGCCCCCCGCACCCTGCGGCTGGACCCTGTGGGGCCTCCTGACCGCCTTCCTCTTCACTCGGCCTCCCTCCCACCGGCCCAGATCCGCTGGAGATGGATTTTTGACATGAAAATCTGAGCAGGGGGTGGTGGTGGTTATGGCGAGCAGGGAGACTTGAAACCTTTTTTTTTTTTTTTTTTTTTTTTTAAGAAAGCAACTGTCCTGAAATAAAATCCAAAACTCTTTCCCCGGTTCCTGGTTCCCCACGAAGCCCTGGCGCCCGCTCCCCCCCGCCGCCTCCGCCTCCGCTCTTCCCGCCCGGCTCTCCCGCTCACTCTCCAGCCCCCAGCGCCCATGCGGCTTTGCAGGGAGCCTTCCTGCAGCCGAGACCAGAGAGCACCTCATGCCTCGCGCTGCCTTCTTTCAAGGGAGAAGAATGGCCCCGTGGTGGCTGGATCCCGGTGTCCTCGGGCCACCTTTACGGTAATGACAATGTCCCGAAGCTGACTGCGGTGATGGTTGAACACCTTCGTGAACAGGTGAAAAGCCGGTGACTTGTCTACTCGAAATGGGTGGCTTCTGGCGTGATCCATCCCAAGGAAGGTCTTTTAGGAAAGAAAAGACAGCCTGGCGTCTGGTTGCTCTTGTCTCGCTGTAACACTTGGGGCTGTTTCTGTGGGAGCTCACCGGCCCTGGGTGTCCAGCTCAACAAAGGGTGTCCTTTGTTGTTTAATGTTTGTTTTGTTTTTCTGTGTTTGTAGACCCTTCAGCAGGGGCAGGACTTTGCTTCTCATGAGCTACAGCTGTGAGAACACCCGCCTGTTTTTCATGCCGTCACAAGGGAGGGTCCCATTAATTCACGTACACTGCAGCGTGTCACTTCCTAACAGTTTATTCCTCTACGGCTGCCCCGATTCTCACCCCAGGTCCCCCCGATCGTGGCATGTGGGCCCCTATGGAAGTCAGTGAGCCTTTCCAGGCCACAGGGGGCTCCCTTGTAAAATGAGGAAGGAAGACGGAGAGATGACCCCAGTCTCCCATTCTGTCCGTCCTGTGTCTCTTGGCTCTGAT